ACCCCTAATGTCACATCGTCCTCACAACAGCCCCGTGATGTCATCAGGAACCTGCCCGATGGCCCAGGGCTAGGAAGGACCAGAGCCAAAGTGCAGGCTCAGGACTGTTTGACCCCAAAGCCAGTGCTCTGAACCCTCCATCTGTCTTCATTAACTACCGCCTGTGCCACTACTGTAAGGCAAGAGAAGAGTGTCACGGCGTGAAGGCTAAGCACATGCTGTGAAATCACCCGTGGCTTGCAGACACACGCACAGCTACTCGGGGGAGATAAGAGTCAAGAACGGGTGAGCTCAAGCTGTGCTCACACGGGGCCTGTGCTAGGGGACTACAGGCCTCGGAAAACCTGGGACCTGGAACAGCTTTCCTCTGCTAGGAGGCGCTGGCGCAAGTTTGCCTGAAGCCACGGCCCCATGGCGAAGCCATCATGTGTGGGGCTTTCCTCGGGCCCCTCTTGGTGAGCCGCATTCCTGTCCACACAGTAGCTCCAGCCTCCACCAGTGGCTTTTCACTTCTTCCTGGCTTTCCACTTCTGTCCACCCTGTGCCAGAAGGTCCTTCATGTCCGTCCTCTCCCGCGTTCCCTCTGCCTTCGGGTCTCCTGGCATTGGGACAGTCACTAGTCAATCGCTACTTACGGGGATATGCAGAAAGCCAGACACTGTGCTGGGCCTCAGCGGGGCAGAAATACGGCAGCCGCCCTAGTGTCAGCTGTGTGCAGCCATCTCTCCTTCCGACCCAAATGCAACTGTGATGGGGGCCGGTCCTGCCCTTTGAGACCATCAGATGAGAGAGCAGCTCACTTTTGCAGAGGCCAGAGGAGCCGTGGTGAAGGGGTTTTCTCAGGGCTTGAGGGAAGTGCCTGCCCATCCACTGAGAGCTTTGGGAAGGAAATGCTGGGGGCCCTTTGTGCCTTCTACTCATCATTTCCCCCCAGCTGCAGGCAAAGGAGGTCATTGGCAGCCCAGCCTATGAGGAGCAAGTGGGCCATGAGCTGCGTGCAGCTGGCGCTGCTATTACTTAGGAGGCGTCACAACAATGATTCAGGTGCTGACCTTAATCCTTAACCAAGTCACAGTGGCTGCCTGACTGTTGAAGCTGCTACCCCTCCCTCAGGTTGCACTGCAGGAAAAGTTGGCAATCCTCTCTCAGTGGCTGCTGTGGGAGTAGCTAACCTCACAGCACCCGAAGGGATGTCATGGGGACCCCAGGTCTGTTTCTAGCATCAGCCGATGCCAGCAGGAAGCCTGCCCGGCCTGGGGCTTGGCAGCCCAGGGACTTAACCACCCACAACCCACAGGGCTATTGGCCTGGACAGGTCATTGATATCTGACTCACAGCCAGTTCGTGGATGACGTGAATCCAAAAATCAGAGGCTGACATGGATTTAGACATGGAAAATGCCCCGCCTGCTTCCATGAGCCCGTCTCCATGCGGCAGACTTGAACTGCACGGGGGCTGATAAGAAGCAGGGTGGGCGCTGCGATGTGACTGTGCCCTTGCCACTGTTTCCAGTCACCCGGCTCGGGTTCTGTGGTTGTCTAAGCCTGGGGAGGCTCTGCCGGGTCTGCGGCGGCCCGGCTGCCTTTTCAGCCTAATCACCAGAGAAGCCACAGAAAGAGCTGGACCACTTAGAGGGGCAGGCTGGCCACAGCCACTTGGAAGAACAGCCTGATTTTGCACAGATATGTCATTTTCTCCTGACTTTTAAACTGTAAACATTGTATAATATCCTAGAAAATTTTGAAAACAGATATAAACCATCAATAACTCCGCCAACCTAACACTTTTACCAAAGAGCTACTCATCTTGATTTATCTGATGCACAGTTTTCATTGCTGGAATCATAAAGAATGTAACACGTTAGATTCTTCTCTTTTCTTTTTCTTTCTTTTTTATCATCACATAGGCATCTTTCCCACTGCTATTTTTTATCACTTTTGAGGACTCAAAATGATCATTTTGGGGGGTGCATAATATTTCACTGTGTGAACTCTCCTATCACCATTTCAATCGGGTGTTTCGTTTGCTTCCATATTTTTTTTTATCACTATAGCAGGTGATGATTGAAAAAATAACATGGAGCTTGCAAAGTTATTCTAAATTACATCGTGGAGCTGGAGAGTGTTCCTTCCTAATCCCTTCAAGGAACTATGATGATATGGGGAAATGAAACATTCATTTGGCGGCTGGAGTGGGGTGAGCTTTGAATCGCATTTTAAGTCAGTGTGATAGTGACCTGAGTTTTTCATCTTTTTTCTCCAGCTCCTTGACAGCCATATTTGCTGGCCAGGGTTACTGATGTGGTCTTTGGCCGGAGAGCAGACTTTCCTCTCTGTGAAATGAGATGACTCATAAGGAAACAAACCCCAAGGCTTTGGCTGCATTTGTCCCATCATCTACACCAGGGTTTCTAATCAGAAGTCCATGAATGACTGTGGGGCTTTGTCGGGGGAGAGGTCCTGAAGTTGGGCACATTTGGTATGTATGTGATAAGTGTATTTTATAGGGATAGTGTCTGTAGTTCCGTCAGGTTCTCAACGGGGGCTGTGGCCCCAAAAATGTTTTTTAAAAGACCCAACCTTCTCTCTCTGTCTCTTTTCCCCTTTCTGGGAATCCGAGATTGAAATGAAAGAAATTGAAAGATCTTTGCCTACATACAGAGGTCCAGTAATGGGATGGGGAATATATTATCCTCATTTTTAAAATGAGGAAACTGAAACTCAGAAGTACTCACCAAAAAGCACATAGCAAGCATGTGGGGAACCTTGGATTTGAACCCAATCTGTCTTGCTGTCAAGTCTGTGTGCACGCACCCACTTTGCTAAAGTGCCTCTTTGTGGGCCGTGCGAGGTGGCTTATGCCTGTAATCCCAGCACTTTGAGAGGCAGCGACTTCTTACTTGAGGTCAGGAGTTCGAGACCAGCCTGGTCAACATGGTGAAATCCCGTCTCTACTGAAAATACAAAAATTAGCCAGGCATGGTGACACGCGCCTGTAGCCCCAGCTACTCGGGAGACTGAGGCTGGAGAATTACTTGAACCTCGGAGGTGGAGGTTGTGGTGAGCTGAGATCGCACCACTGCACTCCAGCCAGGATGACAGAGACTCCATCTCAAAAAAAATAAAATAATAAAATAAATAAACAAAGTGCCTCTTTGTTAAGGCAGTTGCTTCTATTTCTACTTTTTTAACCAAAGCTAATTGCTGATGTGTTAAAGTATGAGATGCTGCCTTGATTATGGCTGTCCGTGGTTCTTCACTAAAGGAAATGTTTTGGCATTTTAAAACAGATGAATCCCCACAAGCTTTGCATTTCTCACCAGGGAGTCAGACTGACACAGAAATATTGTGGTTGGTTAATTGTTCTTTCCTGCTGCAAGCATTCACCATAGGAGGTCAGCTGTATTTACCAAACTGAGACGTTATTACTTAAGACTGAAGGAGCCAAAGAAACCTTGAAATTCAAGAGACCAAACCCAAAAGTTCCACCCAACCACGTGGAAGACTTCAACCCATTGACTTCCTGAATACAGTTCGGCCTTTTCTCTTCACACAGCAGTTTCTATTAACAACAAACTCTCTGGCACCAGTGAGTGACTTTGACTTCCTAAATAAGTTTGATTTCCTTTCTCTCTTAGAAATTCTGTCTTAAATTTCCTTAAATGCAAGTGTGTATACCTGGAGCAAAGAACATGGGGTGTAATTCAATTTCTCTTCTCCTTTCTTCCTCTGGGCATCTCTGCTAGGTTTCCCACTTATTATTGTTGAAAACTGGCAGTCATTAAAGGGGATGGACTTCCTGAAATATGGCAAACAGTCATGCAACAAAAAGGAGAAAATTATGTTTTCATTTTGGCCATCTTAGATGTAGTGCAACATTCAACATGAGGTCAATGTGCCCTCTTGATCCCAAAGTATTGGCTAACGCTCCATAATCAATACTTAGGATAACACTAGTTGCGGGTATGAATGACATCTTTCCACCATTGTCTTGGTAAATTAAACTATTTACTCTTTCTGGCAGTAGGATGCTGTCGGGAGGTGTAAAAGTAAGCATTTTCTTATGTTTGGGTTTTCTGTGATTGTTTGATGGTTTAATTTATTCATTCGAAGAAGAAAAAGATTTACTGCATGTCTACAGTGTTTCAAGTGGTAAGATGGGGCCTGAAAATACGAAGATAAACAACCAACCAAACAAAAAAGCCTATTCCTTGAAGAGCTCAGGAGGAGTCTAGTTTAGAAGGCAGACATGCAAGTTTTATGCTACTGGTCTGTAAGAAGCGCTGCGGGATCAGAAGAAGGGATGACTTAACGGGTACAGAACTGGTGATGTGTGGACGACATCTTGAATGAAGACTAGTTCTTCAAGCAAACCCATAGAGGACACCAAAGAACTGCGTTGTTTGTTTAGCTCTTTTGCAGAACTTGTTATGATCTCTTAACAAGGTCTAGTCAATATCCTTATAAGCACGTAAAATTCCTTATCCTAAACCCCGCCCTGAAATCACTCTGACAACATGTCAGCCGTCTGACCCAGACGTGGATAGTCTGAAAGACCAACAGTTCTAATCATTTAGGTTTTACAGTTTGATCCCCACAGAGATTTTTATATGGGACTTCATGCTTTACAAATTATTTTAGTATTATCAATTTGATCCTTCAAGGCAGGCAGAAAACATATTTCCATCCTCCACTTTATAGATAAAGCCACTGAGGCTCAGAAAGATTTTTAAATTTTACTGCAAATAACATAGGCTTTTGGATTTTTGTTTGTTTGTTTGTTTTGAGACGGAGTCTTGCTCTGTCACCCAGGCTGGAGTACAGTGGCACAATCTCGGCTTACTGCAACCTCCCCCTCCTGGGTTCAAGTGATGTTTCTGCCTCAGCCTCTTGAGTAGCTGGTACTACAGGCACCACCCACCACCATGCCCAGCTAATTTTTGTATTTTCAGTAGAGACGGGGTTTCACTATGTTGGCCAGGCTGGACTCAAACTCCTGACCTCAAGTGATCTGCCCACTTCGGCCTCCCAAACTGCTGGGATTATAGGCGTGAGCCACCACAGCTGGGCAGATTATTCAATTTTAAGGTCTTATGTGCCGCATAACATGATTGCCTTTCTAAAAGAATTATTTATTTATTGAAGGCTGAAGCAAGATTCTCTAGAAGTTCTTTTTTGTCCTTGATAAAATATTTACTTTTCTTGTTTTATCCTCCTACGAGATCCCTTCTGTCCATACCCACGACCTAGATTGGTCTCTGGCCTTGAGCCTCAGCAGAGCATGCTGGGTCCCAGGGCTCGTCCTCAATGCACCACACGCAGCTGGCTCAGGAACTGGGACCTCTGTGTCTTGAACTGGGTGTGGATGGTAGGGAGGGGGACATGGAAAAGCAGGGGTACGAGGCTGATGCTGGCAGCAATGAAGACCTTGGTGATTCGTGGATCTTGGTAGAGACTGAGAGGGAGTGTAGAGGCGAAGAGAAACCAGAGCGTCATTCCTGATGGAGCCCCGTGTTACCCCTGGGCTCCTTTAGGGCACAAGAGTGCTGGGGCTGGACCATCTCCAGATTCCACCCTCTTCCTCCACAGCTGTGAGCAGAGCCCAGGCTGTCTGTCCCTCAGCATCCCCTTAATCTGTGGTACAATCATAGCCCCTGAATGTTAGGGCTGGAGGCAACTCAGAGACCATCCACCCACAGCCCTCATTGCACAGAGGAGACAGAAACAATGAGATGAAGTGACTGGTACAAGATTGCACCTTGGGCTGCAAAATTCATACCAAGTGATCCAGGGAGGCCTTTGAGGCACTGCATTCCCAAAACGCCTTCTAAATAGCCAGCCAGAGTTACAGAGTGGTGCTCAGAACAGGTTGCAGACGTTTATTGAATTCCATGTGATTTAAGTGCGGTTGGTGGGCAGCCCACACTGCCGCCGTGCACTGCGTGAGGACCCTGTGTGAAGGGGGCTTGTGGTAACGGAGCAGCTGGGCCTGGCCCAGGTGGATTCAGAGTCTCCCCTCACTCGGAGAAGCCTGCGCCTTGGAAAGAATTCAACTCCTTGGCCTGACTTTTGTGAGGGAAATGTTTGGAGCGTTTTATAGGTCTCCATGGCTGTGGTGTTTTATGATGTTGAACCCAATAAAACTCGTCATGACACAGGATCTGCCAAGGGGATCGGACCTTCCCTTTTGGCACAAGGAACCATTCTGTTTCGGTATCTCAGGAAATGAGCAGAGGAAAATCCTTGTTATTTCAAGTGAACAGGGTCTGGGCAAGGCCTCTATCCCTGGTCACCTTGACCATGCGCTACCTGTCGCGGAGTCTAATGGTTGCTCCAATTCAGCCGAAAGACACGACTCAGTAGATAGAGCCTTGATCTGTCCACGGGGTGCTCCTGTCTGCTGCCCCAGCAAATGCGAGAAAACCCGCTTGTCCTTTATGAGAGGGGCAGTGGTATCTTAGTCCCATCCTAAAGGCAGAAGGATGCTAAACACGGGGACGAGCGTGTCTGGGGGCTACAGGCAAGAGCCCCGCAATGGCCTCCCCGAGGGATCTGAGGCCCAGCAGGTCATCCCAGGTCTCAGAAGCCTTGTAAGAGCAGAGTGGAGGATCCATCTTGCACGCTGAGCTCTGAGCAGTGAGGGGAACAGCTGGGAGAGAGGCTGGGGTGCAAGTGACACTGTGCAGAGATGCTGCTCCCGGCCACAGCTGCCACTGTGGGCCTTCTGCATCCACCCAGCCCCTGTGACTGCACTGCCCCCACCTCTGGGCTTGAGTACCCAGAGCCTGCTCTTTGGACCCATCCTGGCAAGTTGCTGATGGATATGCCTATGCAGCAGGGCCACTGCAGGCTTAGGAGGGCTCCATTTCAGCCCTGGCTGTGCATCATAACGAGGCTGAGGGGTAAAAAATACAGATTCCTGGCCCTGTTTCAGACTTTCTGTATCATATGCAGGAGCCCCGGAAGCTGTTACAGTCCCAGATCATTTCTGATCCAACCCACCAGCCACCTCTACCTGCTCAAATCTAGGACTTGCTGACCTCAGCCCCCTCCCCTTCCTGGGGAGCTCCCACTCCAGGGTCGATGCACACACATCACTTTCACCACCTCTGGAGTCCTCCCCCTCCCCCTACATCCTCCAACAAGCTGCTCCTCTGGGATTCCTTGCCCTAGTCTCTCCACAGGGGCCAGCAGTCACTGCAAACACCCAGTCGCAATGTACCAAGAACTTTCAGGGTTTTGCCCTTTTTTGCTGGTCGGTGCCATGAGATGGAAGCTCTCGAGTGGGGTGTGCTGTCCCCTGGGCTGGGTGGAGGTGGCCATAGCACAGAAGAAGATGGATCCTGGAAGTCCAGGCGGCCTGGGCTTGCATCCTCCCTGCCCCACTCCCGGCTGAGGGACCTTGAGCAAGCTTGACCTCCGTCAGCCTTTGTTTCTTTACCTGTAGAGTGGAGGCCTGGAAGCTGGCCTCCTGGGAGGCTTTGAGAATGAACAGGAGATGAGAGGTAGTGCCAGGGGTCAGGCATGTCAGTGACTCCACCTGAGTCCTCAGAGCTTGGGGGAGTGTCTGGGACAAAGTAAGCAGCCGGCGCACGGGGGTCCTCCCTGCTCCCCTTCAATTGCTTGTGTCTCTCTGGGGCATCTTTTACTGTCTTTGGCTTCTTCGTTTGCTGCTGCCCTCATCTGGGTGCCCGCCTCTATTTCCCCCTTCCTTCCATTTTCTTTAACTGCATCGTTTTTCTGTCTTTATAGGCCAGTCGCTTACCTCCTTAATTTTCAGACTTTTGTCTTCTCTAATATCGTATCAGCGCTTAAAATGCAATTTTCCCCGCCACTGTAGTGCTTCATGTCATATGCGGCGTGCTGCATGCGGGGACGGCCCAGAGCAGCTTCCTGCAGTCTGTGTTCTTCAGAATACTGGCTTCAAACAGGAAATCAAACAGGGAATTGCTTTAGTTGTTTGTGGAATTGAGTGGGCTCCTGCTGGCATTTTAAAAACAAAATCATATAGAATAGAGAATACCCAGGGGCATTGCCTGTAGGAAAGACTTTGGGAGGCTTTTGTCTCCTGGTGTGGAGATGCATGTGCACTCGCGTGTCTGGGATGTCAGGAACTGTAGATGGAATGAAGATTCATGCCCAGATGAACTGATAAGCAGATCGTGGCCTGTACATTCCATGGAATATCATTCGGCCTTTGAAAGGAAGGAAATTCCTTCACATACTGCCACATGGATGAACCCCGAAGACATGACGCTAAGAGGAAAGAGTCAGACACAAAGGAGAAACACTGCAATTCCATTTAAATGAGTCCCTAGAGTAGTCCCATTCGGAAACAGAAAGCAGAATGGGGGTGCCAGGGCCTGATGTCTTTCTCACTGTAACAAAGAACAGAAAGCCCAACAGACACTGTGGTGGACGCTCTCAGACCACACTGCACCGTGGGGACTTCACAGCCCCTGAGTCCTGCACTTGGGGGGTGGGTCTCACGACTGCCCTTCCCCCTTGCGGTGCAAAAGTTCAGAAGGGCGGTGGTTGCCCTATCGCTGTCTCTCCCAGAGGATCTTTTTGACCTCCTCAAGGAACATGTATTAATGATCTATTGAGAGAAAGACAATCTAGTAGGTCCTGTGCATTTTCTGTCTTCTCCCATTTTCCCAAGAACTATATTTGTTATAGCAGCCCTATTAAACTAACTGCCCAACCCAGCCCCCAGCCCCTGATGCCTGTTACTCTACCATCTGTGTCGATGAATAGGGCTACTTTAGGGACTTCATTTAGGTGGAATCATACAGTGTTTGTCCTTTTGTGTCTGGCTTATTTCACTCAGCACAATGCCTTCAAGGCTTACCCATGTTGTAGCATGGCCAGAATTTCCTTCCTTTGTAAGGCTGAATTCCACCGTACATACAGACCACATTGGGCTTGTCCATTCATCTGTCCACGGACACTGGCTGCTGCCACATTTTCACCACGGAGCAACACTGTTGTGGGCATGAGGGTACAAATACCTGCTCAAGTCCCTGCTTTCTGTCATTTTGGGTACATACCCAGAAGTGGCATTGCTGGATCATATGGTAATTCTATGTTTAATTTGTCGTGGAGACTCCATACAGGACTTTGGATTTTCCTCCGAATGTGATGGGTGACACTGGGTAGTTCTGAGTAGGGAAGTGACATGATGGGACCTAACGTTTTGATAGGGTCAGAGTGAGCTGCCTTTGGGAATAGGCAGGTGGGACGACAGGGAAGAGGAGAGCAGGGAGGAGTTGCTGTGTGTATCCTGGAGAGAGTGAAGGTGGCTTAGACCCGACTCTCGGCCGAGGCAGAGAGATGTCCGTTCCTGGCTGCCTATGGATGGGAGAGCCAACAGATATCGGGGTTGCATGTGGATTTGTATGTGCAGAATAGGAGAGAAAGAGCATGAGGAAGAGAAGATGGAGCTGCCATTCACAGGGATGGAACTTGACCAGGAACTCAGCTCTGGCCATTTTAAGTCTGAGACATTTATTAGAAGTCCAAGTGGCCACATCACTTGGTGACATTGTCAGCTGGTTCCCTGACTTCTACCAGCCACTTTCCCTGGCCTCTTTTCTGCATGAGCCTCCCAGCTGCCAGGCACGTCTAGATGCTCCAGATGCTTTCAGGTTCCCAGAGCCTCCTGCTGTGGTAGCTCAAGACTTCCTCCCTGGCCTCATCTGCTTTCCCCTTGATGTTTGAGAGAGAGCTTTTCTTAGGTGTGTGGGAGGAAACAGCATGTTGGTGGTGAGGGGGGGCGCCAGGAGACAGCCACCCAGCCCTTGACAAGACAGGGTATGGGTTCAGCTCCCGAAGACCCTCTTGCCTTCCCAGCCAAGCCAGAGACTTGCAGGCTGCTGAACGCACCCAAGGCAGCACCCATGGTACAGCCCTGGTGTTGTGGGCAAAGCTCTTGGTCCTGCCGCAGGGAGAAAGTCTATGCTCCAAGGCCCCGATAGCTTGCACCTGAGTCAAGGGTCACCTTTCAGAGCTGAGATTGACTGAACCTGAGTCAAGGGTCACCTTTCAGAGCTGAGATTGACTTCTGGAAAGCCAGAGAAGTGCATTTTCCCATAGCATTGAGAGCACCCCAGCCCTGTGCCCACCAAGGGAGGGAAGGGGGCTTCTAGAGGCAACATCAGAGCAAGATGTGAGCTGGTTTTGCTTCAACGTCACTGTCAGGGCCTGCCACAGATGCCGGCACTCAGAGCTCACTCTGCAGAGGAGGGAACCGAGGCTGGGAGGGGTGAGAGAGCGTGCAGGGTACATGGTGGGTGAATAAGTGAGTCAGGCCCAGTTCTCCTGGGTCCCAGGTGTGCTGGCAGCCTGCACAGAGTGGCCTTGGCTTGGGGGTCTTTCCTCACAAAGCATGGACCCTCAGAATCAGACACCAGCTGAGACGAAGGCCCAGCGGGATTGCTTTTTAGACAGTGCATCCTGTTAGAGCTTAGGCTTCCCATAGCGAACATGCACTTTCGTGTGAGTTTTTGCAATGCATTCAATTTTTTAGAAAACTTCCCTGTAGATGCCCGCCAGATACTGGGTTCTGATTCTGAACACAGACACCCCACTGTGGGTGGATTGGGAGGGGCAGAAGATTTTAATCTTTGGGAGGATTGAGGGGTGTCTCACTCCCCCGCACCTCTGAAGGTCGCTGTCACCCTGTTGCTGGCATCTCAGCATTTCCATCCACTTCTCCGTTTCCACTAACAACGCTCTTGCCCTGCTACGGCCACCTCTCACCGGTCTCCCGCGGTGGCCTCCCGTCTAGTGTCCTGCTTCACCGGCACCCCACAATCTCCTCCAGACAACAGCTGCAGTGATCCCTTTAAAGGTAAGTCAGCCCCTCCTTAAAACCATCCAATGGTCCAACATGGCATTTGGAAAGAAATCCCAACGCTTCCCCAGCTGGTCTCTGGGCCCTGCCCTTCTCTCGCCATCCCTGGCTGCTCCGCTCCAAGCACGGGGAGCTTCTTCCTGCTCCGGGAACCTGCCGAGCCTGTGCGCTTTTAGAGCCATTTCTGTGCTCTGCGCTCTGTGCTTCGCAAAGCCTTTCCCTGCCACTGAAGACTCCAGCATACATCGCACTCTCTGGGAGAGGTCTTTCTCTTATCTGAATAGCCCTGGTCCTGTGCGATGATTCTGTCCCATCATCCTGTTTGAATTTCTTTGCGGTTCTTGCCTCTCCTAGAAATCAGTGGCCATTTACTTTGCTGGTCTGCTGTCTGCCTCCCCCTCCGCTCTCCTCCCTGCGTCAACTAGAACGTGGGCTCCATGGAGCAGGAGCTGCCCACTGTGGCCTCCAGCCTGGTGCAAGATCTATCGCAAAAGTTCTTGTTCAGGGGACAATGAATTCCTCAAAGGAAGGAATCAGACCCTCTCTGGGACTCCCCTGGGTGCTACAGGACCTCGCTGCCTTCATGTAGGGCTGCTGGGAGCCAACCCTGTCACAGCCTTTCTGGACAGCAATTTGGCAGTCTAGACCAGGAACCCCGAAACAGTTCCACGGTATTGGACTGAAGAAATTTTTCTTCTGAGAGCCTAAACTGAGGGAAGAATTCTAAAATGTAGGCGATAATTCATGCACAAATATTAGATGAAGCTATATACATACATCCACATGTTCACACATGTAGTAGGGAAATGTCAAACGTGGTATTTATTATAAGCTTGAATGATATTAAAAGGTTTATGGGATAGTATTAAGTAATAAGAAACATACAGCAGTTTATGTACAACATCATAACAGTGCGTGTTTATTTAGAGGCCTCTGTGCTGGGCACCGTAACAAGAACTTTACTTATACTTCCTAATTCTCTGAACAGTCCTGTGAGGTAGTTATTATTATCTCAATTTTATTGACTGAGAAAATGAGACATGAACAGATCAAGGAAGCTGACAAACATGGAGTAGTTTGTAAATTGTAACGTGAGGATTTGAAACCGGAGCCGTCTCACTCCAAGCTCTCCATTTAAACTCTACTGTATGCTGATTTGAGTTGCATAAACAACTTGAAAATGCGCATATCCCTTGCTGCCCCCACTACCAGAAAGACTAAGAAGGAATACACCAAAATATTCACAGAGATTGCCTCTGGGTATTGGGGTGATGGGAAATGTTTTCTTTATAATTTCCTATATTTAAATATTTTTCTGTAATAAGCACATATTATTTTCATGTAAAGTTTTGAGTTTTATCAAAAGATAAGTAGTCACACACAAACCACAGATAACTTTGACTTATTAATATAGAATCAAAAATACTTCTAAAAAACAAGAATTTGAATCAAACATAACGTTTAATATGACTAAGGAGGGCTCATTCCACTGTGAAAAGACAACTTAGCATTAAGAACCACATAGCCGGGCACAGTGGCTCACATGTATAATCCCAGCACTTTGGGAGCCTAAGGTAGGAGGATCGCTTGAGCCCAGGATTTCGAGACCAGCCTGGTCAACATGGTGAAAACCTGTCTCTATAAAAAATACAAAAATTAGTCGGGTGTGGTGGTGCATGCCTGTAGTCCCAGCTACTTGGGAGGCTGAGGTGGGAGGATCACTTGAGCCCAGGAGGTCGAGGCTACAGTGAGCCATGATCATGCCACACACTTCCAGCCTGGGCAATGGAGCAAGACCTTGTCAAAAAAAAAAAAAAAAAAAAAAAAAAAAAGAAAGAAAGAAAAAGAAAAGAAAAGAAAAGGAAAAGAAAAAAAGGAAACATAATCAAAGGCATCCCTGTAAAAGCCTGTTGTAACCTAAAGAAAAAGGAAACTTCCTAGATATCTTCTGCAAGACTATAGCCAAATTCAGAAGTGAGAGACGCCTGCTAACATTGAGATAATTTAACTTTGTTTTGGGAATTCTTAGCAGTGTAATACAACAAGAAAAGGTAATACAACATCTACACATTTAGAAAAAAGGCGTAACAGGTGATCTATTTGTCTTCCAAGGAAATCTAAGACAAGCAACTGAAAAGCTATTAGAGTTAGTAAGAGAACTGAAATGCACAAAAATCAATAGCTTTCTTTTTTTCAACAATAACATTAGCAATGCCAGTTCTCCAAAAATTGTATATGAATTTAAATTTAATGCCAATAAAAATGAATACAGGAATTTATAGCTTGTCAAAATTATAGCCTTAAGTTAAATCAGAAGAATGAATGAGAAAGAATAATGAAGAAACTCTTTTAAAAAAGAACTGAAACTGTATCATTAAACTGGAGTAATTAATTTACGTGGTTCTATGCAGGAAAAGACAGAGTCCAGAAATAGGCCCGTGATTATGTGGGAATTGAGCAAGTGATAAGGAAGGCAATTCAAATCAGTAAGAAGGATGGCTTTTAAAAAATGTATTATCTAATATTTGATTTGTCAAGTCATTAAATAATTCTCTATATCCTAAAGATATCCTGTATGTTTTCTAAAAGTTTTAATTTTTGCCTTTGATTTGCGATTATTAAGATTTTTTTCTTGAGACAGAGCCTCACTGTGTCACCCAGGCTGGAGTGCAATGGAACCATTATGGCTCACTGCAGCCTTGACCTCCCAGACTCAAGCAATCCTCCCATCTAAGCCTCCCGAGTAGCTGGGACTACAGGCGTACATCATCATATCCAGCTAATTCTTCTATTTTTTTGTAGAGATGAGGTCCCACTCTGTTGCTCAGGCTAGTCTCGAATTCCTGGGCTCAAGTGATCCGCCCACCTTAGCCACCCAAAGTGCTGGGGTTACAGGTGTGAGCCACTGCACCTGGACCATATTTATGTCTTTAATCAATTTGGATTCAATAGTCGAGAATGGTTCTGCAGTAAGGCCACAGTTTTATGTGAAGAAAAGAGTTTCCTTAGCCTCATTTATCGAGTGGCTCATACTGCCCTGGAGACCCACAGTGCCTCCCCGGCATGTGCGTGAGGGTCCGTCTGGTACCCTCCGCTCACTTCCTGTTCTATTTTTACACTCCCTGGTCATCTTCATCATTGCAGCTTTTAGTAAGTGTGGACATCTGGGAGGGGACTCCTCTCTATCTTGGAGTTTTTTTTCTTTATAGATATCTTTTCTATTTTTGAGCCTTTTCTTATTCATAAAATTTTGAGAACCAGCTTGTAAAATTCCTCAAAAACACCCTTTGGAACATAGATTGGAAATACATTTGATTTTTACATAATTTGGAGGTAATACGCCTTTTAACGATGAGCCCTCCTAATCACGGTAAATCCGTCTTTCCTCTTATTAAGCCCTTCTTCTTTAATATCTTCCAGTGAAGTTTACATCTCCATACAAGTTTGCACGTATTTTATTAGGTACATTTCTAGGTAAATTATGTGTTTAGCTGGCATTGGAAATGAGCTTTTAAAAAAAAACTACATTTTTCTAAATGGTCAAAATAAATGAATAGGCCATATACAGAGGCAAAGAATCCATATAACCCATGAACATCTCAAATATAATCAAGGGAAAACAAATTAAAACAAAAATATTTCATTTATTATCTATTCCACTAATAAAACTAATGTTTGACAATAAGAGGTTTGGTGAGGATATGGGAAAATGAAAACTCTTAGGTATTGCTGGTGGGATGATAAATGGGTTCAATCACTTTGGGGAGCGTTTTGGGAATCCATAGTGCCACTGAAGGAATGTGGCCCACTGCCCTGTAAGTCCATAGGTAAATTAAATATCTAAATTCCCTATGCTGTTCAGAGAAACTCTCACATACTTGCAAAAGGGGGAGCGTATGAGGATGCCCATCCCAATGCATTTCACCATTTTGAAAAAGTGTCCCTTAGAAAATGAATGAATAAAACAAACTTTATTCACTTAATAGAAAAGGATACAGAAAAAAAAAAAAAAAGAACTGGGAATCTATGTGTTACAATGAACAAATCTCAAAAACACATATTTTTGGGAAAAAAAAAAAGCAAGTTGCAAAAAGGTTACATACATTATGAAGCCATTTTTTAAAAGTCTAAAACACACAAAGCAGCAATATATATTGTTTATAATTGCTTATACATGTCATAAATGTCCAAAATCATACATGGTTAACACCTACTGACTCCATGATAATTATTAATTTTGGAGAGAAAGAGAGGAGAATATAATGACCAATCTTGAGTTGTATCTTTGTATCTGGAACATAAAAAGAGAGAGGAAAGGAAGAGAAGGAAGTACACCAAAATATGAATATCTGTTTGATCTTAGCAGTGTCACGTTACTTTCTGTGCTTTTTTTACACATTTAAAATATTCATAGCTAATGGTGAAAAAAATTTTAAGTAGTTGTATATTTCTGTCATCTTGGAGTGAGGAAGACATTAGCAAGTGTGAACAACAAAGGAAAGATTAATAGGAAAGATTAATAAATTGACTACATAGAAATGACAACTTTTTCTGCAGAATACATACCATGTTGTAATACATAATACAAACACAAAGTTCAGTTGGGCATGGTAGCTCACACCTGTAATCCCAGCACATTGAGAGGCCAAGGCAGGAGGATCACTTGAGGTCAGGTGTTTGAGTCCAGCGTGGCCAACATGGTGAAACTTGAGCCTAGGAATACCACTTGTGGGAATTTTTTTTTTGTTTTGTTTTGTTTTGTTTTTTTTTTTTTTTTTGAGACGGAGTCTTGCTCTGTCACACAGGCTGGAGTGTAGTGGCGCGATCTAGGCTCACTGCAAGCTCCGTCTCCCGGGTTCAAGCAATTCTCCTGCCTCAGCCTTGCGATTAGCTAGGATTACAGGCATGCGCCACCAAGCCCGTTAACTTTTTTGTATTTTTAGTAGACACGGGGATTTTACCATATTGGTCAGGCTGGTCTCGAACTCCTGACCTTG